TTCCGGTCTGAACATGTTTGTGGTTTGCTAAAGCTTATCCCCCTTGTTTTTTGGCTCCTGATTTGATTTTTAGATTATTCACCATGGAAGCAAATATGAAATGCAGAAGCAGCCCTGAGAATCGCTTTTTTTTTTGGTTAAACCTGAAAGTAGCATGGGAGAAGACTCTGACCATTGGTAATCTTATGAAGAGAGGTAGAATCGGCAACATGTGGTTCTTCTTTCAGGGTGAGAATGAACAGTGAAACAATCTTATTCTTGTGTCCTGAAACTAGAAGGCTTTGGAATTCTACTCTCCATCTCCTTGATCTTTGCCAGGTAGTTAGTGGTTTGGACAACTATGGAGTTGGGGGTTTGGAATGGTATCCCAGCATCAAAAAGTTCAGATAAAATTCTTATGTTTATCCTCTTGCTATCTTTTCGGTAACCTAGAAAGATGAGCAATTAAGCATTTGAGAATCTATCACCACCCCCTTTTTGCTTTTATATGCAACCATTGGCTTTGAACGATTTTTTACTTTTTTCAAGAGTCACCTCCTTATTTACTTTTTATTTCAAAAAAAAAAGTCACCTCCTTATTTATGGGATTGATTTTATAGATCTTTTTAGTATCTTCTCTTAAGGAATTGTAAAGTTTTGCACATGGGCAACACCCTCTTGGAGCCTCTTTAATAGTATTCTCAAATTTCTCTCATAAATTGCAAGATTGGAAAACTGCAAGCTGGAGGTTTGTTACTGAAATATCATGTAGTGAGTGTAGCAGCGTACCTAGACCTCTCAATTGTAGCTTCATTGGGTAGGAGTGAGGACTCGAGACTTGAGGGTTGATTGCAAGTTTGGGTAATTATAATTTCAAGTGTGGCAGTTCAATCATTTTGCTGGGGTAGAAGCTTAATTGCTCATGATATGCAAAGGGTTAGAAAGCCAGAGATTGGAGACCAATTTCCTTGCATTTCTCCTCTATAGAGGGTTGCAAGAAATTTCTTTTTCTACAAATTGTGTGTTCTTTAGATAATAGAGTTGGGGTTGTTCAATTCTGGCCATGAAAGGGTGAATTGGACTAAACCTTAGACACTAATGTCTTCCATACAAAACTTGCTAATTTTAGAAACTTTCCAGCTTTGAATTGTTTTTCTTTTGGTATAGAGTCATGTTGCAAAGTATGGACGTTCTAGTAACATCTATCATAGATTTTAGCTATCACTTCAACCAAAAATGGCAGTTTCTGATCATAAATGGCCAGAAGGCCATAGCACACTTGAGTACCTCTGCCTGTTTAGGTATTAAAAACATGCTGATACTTTAGACTATGTTTTGAATAAATTCACATTTTGGAAATTCGTCTATTAATTCAAACTTATCTCAATTAGGAGATGGTTATATTAGTTACAATATAATAAAAATTTATGTATTTATGCATCGAATTCCATATAAGATCAATTTTTATCCTTTAAAAGATAATTTCCATCATTGTATAGTTGAACTGAGTGTAAATTTATAAATATAGTATGTAAATTCTAGATTTATTCAAACTTGGCCT